GGAGAAATTTCTGCAAGCTTTTTTAACACTGGAGCTATTTCCGGCAATATCTTTGTTGGTGCTGGAGCAATTTCCGGTAGCTTCTGTATTGGCACCGGAGCTATTTCCGGTAGCTTTTTTGTTGACACTGGAGAAATTTCCGCAAGCTTTTTTAACACTGGAGCAATTTCCGGCAATTTCTTTGTTGGTGCTGGAGCAATTTCCGGTAGTTTCTGTATAGGCACCGGAGCAATTTCCGGTAGCTTCTTTGTTGACACTGGAGAAATTTCTGCAAGCTTTTTTAACACTGGAGCTATTTCCGGCAATATCTTTGTTGGTGCTGGAGCAATTTCCGGTAGCTTCTGTATTGGCACCGGAGCTATTTCCGGTAGCTTTTTTGTTGACACTGGAGAAATTTCCGCAAGCTTTTTTAACACTGGAGCTATTTCCGGCAATATCTTTGTTGGTGCTGGAGCAATTTCCGGTAGCTTCTGTATTGGCACCGGAGCAATTTCCGGTAGCTTTTTTGTTGACACTGGAGAAATTTCCGGTAGCTTCTTTGTTGGTGCTGGATCAATTTCTGGTAGCTTCTTTATTGGCGCTGGAACATTTTCCGGTAGCTTATTTATTGGCGCTGGATAAATTTCCGGTAGCATCTTTGTTGGTGCATGAGCAATTTCCGGTAACATCTTTGTTGGTGCACCACTGGAGACTAGCGACACCTCGTTACAAACAACATCATCGTCTGTGCAACTTGTATCATCGCCTGAGTCAGGGTCGAATGGTGTTGTCGGCAGCGGACACCCCGAGTACATGATGTCCAGCTTCTGACCCTCGCTGAGCGGCTGGCCGTGGTTGTAGGTCCGCAGCCTGTCCATGACGGAGTTGATGGTGGCACACGCCGCCTGCAGGATGTAGATCTTAGAGCCCGCCCTGTTCCTTACGTCTGGGTTGGCGGGAAGAATGGTCAACAGTCTGCTGAAAGCCCGGGACAGCGTCGATTGTCGTCTGCGCTCCTTGGGACAAGAAACAACAGTGAGCTTAAAAAGTTGCGGTTGTGGAGTTGTGGTTTGTATTTAGTAAGAATTCTGTATTTAGTAAGAATGGTGTATTTAGTAAGAATGGTGTATGCACTCGGTGATGTGTCAAGGGTTGCATCGTTTTTTCTGCCTTTGAAACCCAACCCTCTACAATATGCTAACAAAGTGTCGTGAACCCAACCCTCTACACAGTTTACAAAGTGGCTTGAACCCAACCCGCTACACTATGCTAACAAAGTTGCTTGAACCCAACCCTCTACATCCTGCTAACATAAATTCTCCTGAATCCTCTGCCATTTAAAACTTTTTAACCACGTCCCTATTATGACGACGTCACGTACGCAGTGTTTCTTTCAGACATTTTTCACCGTGGTGGGGGGGGGGGGTCTTTAATTTTCTGATTGGCCGGACGGACACTGACTGAAGCATATATTTTGAATATTAAATCTGTTTAGTTCAATGTGTGTATATCCTCCCCCCCCCATCGCCCTGGAGATAACTCTGGATATACCTGCCCCCCCCCCCCACCCCCCCCCCCCCCCACCCTGGAGGTAACTCTGGACATACCTGCATGTTAACGAGTAGTCTTTTCCTCTCAAACTCATCATGTTCTACAGCATGTTTTCTTCTTCGTGAGGGGGTGGTGCTGGAAGGGGAGAGGGGGGTGGTTGTGGGGGTGGTTTTAGAGGGGGTGGTGGTTGTGGGGGTGGTTGTAGAGGGGGTGGTGGTTGTGGGGGTGGTTGTAGAGGGGGTGGTGGTTGTGGGGGTGGTGGTTGTGGTGCCGGTTGTGGAGGGGATTGTAGGAGGAGGGGTTGGTGTCGCAGCTAGTGTGTCCTCGTCTCCTGCCTGGGTTGCTGATGTGTCGTTGTCGTGTACCTCCATGTTGGTGTCGCGTGTGGTCAACATCAGCCAGGACACCAGCACTGGATGTTGGTATTTGTGTTTGACCCCAGCACTAGATGTACGTCTTTTGGCACTAGCAGTAGTTCTGATGGATGAATGATTGCAATTAAACTTTACATATAGAATTTGAATTAATTGCGTGGACATTAATACAATTGTTGGGATGATTCTGAATACCGTCCCCTAGAGGCGTAGCGAGGGCGGGGCGGGGTGCGGCTGCACCGGGTGACACCATTTAGGGGGTGACACCAAGGCAAAAAATCGCAAAATGTACAGAAGAAAAATGCTTTATGCCAGTTCTATTAATGATTGATTAAAGTGAAATAGTCTTTTAAGCACAAATCTACAATTATTACAAAGGGTTAACTATAGAGAAAACAATTCTACATCGACTGTATTATTAACATACTACAGATAAACATCGTTACTATTAAGTCTCCAGTGATTAAAGTTTATACTGTCGTCTGTCCAAAATAAGGTGAGTTAAGTTGTTAGTAGTATCGTAAGCTCGTCTACTTTTATGTTTAGATATCAGGGTAGGACTAAGTTTGGGGCTCGGATTAGGCTTAGGCTTAGTATTGACATTAGCAAGTCATTTGCGTATTTAATTAGCTACCTAACGCCCCATTTTATAAGAAGATTCTATTATTGTACCATAGTTGGACACTGGTATAAGAAATCCACACCCTCTTAGAGATTACAGGAAAGAAAGTGGGAGCTATCTCCCCTAAACTTTCTCGTATTTTCTTATATAACAATATCAGTAAGGGAGACAACACCTTCCGCGCAATCTGGCTGTAGAAATGCTTTTACTAGTGTTTAATTTGTTTCCTCGTTATTTTGTCTGTCGTGCTTCGTCATCGATCGAAACTGGCGAGCGAAATTTCGACCACTCCTAACCGACCGAAACTTTGCACGTGGGTCTAGACCGGATGCAACCTGACATCAAATTTGACCTAATTGGTGGCCTTAATTATTCCTTTAAAGGATAAATTAAAGTTTCCTATATAAAGTACTATTTTTTTCGTGCTTTTAAAAAGAATATGTTTCGTGTTTACTTAGTGAGCAATAGTTTTTAGAGATGCAGTTTTATTGTATTAGACCATTTTAATTATTAAATACCAAATTTCTATAAAAAAACAACGTTTAAATAATTATATACTCATGCACTAAAAAGAAGAAAATACGATTACAATGCATCCTTTATGTTCCATGTACGATACAGTGGGCATGTGTAAAACAGCGAAAACTTTAAATTTAAATTTATTTGGACGATTACAATACTTTCTTTATAGGCCTGTACACGAGTAAGTAAAAAAATCATAAATGTAGTCCAACACACAGAAAAACGTTTTACGAAAAAAATTGCATGCAACTTACAACTTTTCTCTGGTTATTTAAAAAAAAAATGACTTACGACTATTGATGAGATCTGGTTGTTGCTCTGGTCTAGTGGTAGCGTCAATCTGTTGTTTCTTTGTGAACTGTCAACAATAATCGAACACAGCACACGATTTTCTCTCTAGAAGTCAAGACACTGGAATACATACACGGCACGGTTAAACACATTACACACAGCATGCACACATCATATTGACACATCACAAAATCATCTTACTAGACGTCACTCGGGTACACATCATACACACACACACACACACACATGGTAAAACAAATTGAATGATGTCACCTGAAGCAAGTAAACCTTGATGCACACATTTGACGTTACACAGAAACACAAATCCCACGTGTAGACACAGTTCGCTCAAACAGTGGAAATCACACATCACTCACAAAAATACACTGCCTACACTAACACACCACCACACTAGCAGAAATACACAACTCACAAAAACACACGACTAACGAAAACACATAACTCACAAACACACAACTCACAACTCACAAACACACAACTCACAAACACACCACCTACAGAAATCCTAGGCTAAACACGGCGGTGAACTTGTGTCGTAGTTGGGTTGAGTGAAAAAGACATTTTTTTAGAACAGAGAAAAACACGGCACAATTTGGTTAGCCATACCGTTCTTATGTGTACATTATATGTCGCGTTTTACAATACTTGAACCCTCTTATTGTTGACGTGTTCTTATACAAGATTTTGAAATCAAAGCGGCAGTAAAAAGAATAGAAAATAAAACTTAAGCCTGAAAGTATCTAAGAAAATTAATACTTTTAAAATCAAAGAGTTGCAAATCTAGAGAACTTAAATATTAATTTTTGAGTTTAAAGCTAATTTTCTGTTAATTTTAATCAAGCCTAAGTTATCAGTTTACATTCGTTTCAAATGTAAACGATCAAATTGTTTTTTGGCTTTTTAAAAGTTTTTGTTTAGTTACCAAAATTACTATCAATAAAAAGTTTATCCAATCCTTTGTATTAATGGGCCTTTCGAATAATTTCGAGACAACTTTCTGTTGAGTCCATTAAAAACAGTTGTACTTTTTGTGAGGTGTCATTTTTACTTTCTCGTATTTACAGAGTATAGAGAAAGTATTGTAATCGTGCAAAAAAAAGAATCGATATTTTTGCAAATCTCGACGTTTTACACTTCCCGGAGTCGGAAAAACATAATTTTGCAATCTTGTCCGTATGTCTGTGTGTGTATGTGTGTGTATGTATGTATGCGTGTCTGTAAACTCGATAACTTGAGTACCGTTACAGCTAGGTTGATGACATTTCATATATAAGTATTATATCTATATCCCCAGTTGCCATCCCCGTAGTTTTATATAAGAATATTCGAGAAAGTTTAGGGGAGATCACTTCCGGTTTATTTATTAGACCGGATCTCGAGTGAGCGGGGTTGTGTGTGTGTGGCGGGGGGGGGGGGCGTACTGTGGAGAGGGCATATACTCTATATCACAGAATCCTAAAATACATCCGTGAATGTGTGCGCGTGTGTGGGGGGATGGGCTCTACTGCTGTATTACAGTGTGGGTTACGCTTACAGAACAACTGATTACATTTGACCTAATTACTTATATGAGGTCAAGTTTCACTCAAATCGTAACACAAAGTGTAACAATATTCATTTTAAATTCGTGTGGAAAAAACAGTAGTGTTTGCTACTTACTTTATTTAAAACAATATAGTCTATATATACATAAACAAAACACTCAAATAAAAACACTAATGTTAAAATATAGTACAGAGAAAGTTCTATGAAACTAGTAACATACTCAGGTCAATAACAGCATGAACTGATTTACTTACGTTATACAGCATTCTATACATATATAGATCAACAAAATATACAAGTAACAAAGATACAAGATTATCACGTGGTATTGTAATCAATGTTTTGATTAATGACATTTAGAGCCACTCCTTTACATCATCTTGGAAGTGTTAATATGCCCTGTTACTATACCGTTCTGCCCTCAATGATGCCCCACCATTTGGGCATGACTGGCATCGAACATTATAGGGCAGCAAGTGGCGGGCATGATGCCCATACTTCGGCATTGTAGCGTGGTTGGGGGTGGGTGGTGCATCACCCCTGGGGATAAAACCGGTGGGTGGGGGCCGTGGTAGATGACAGGGTACAATCTGTTGGAAGAATCTCCGTGACTGAATGGAAACTTCTGGACGTCGGGTGGCCTGGGAAAACAGACCGGGATAGCACAGAAGGTTTGCCCGTCCCTAGTCCACTGCCCGTCCCTAGCCCACTGCCCGTCCGTAGCCCACTGCCCTCCCGCGGCCCACTGCCCGTGTACGTGGGGTACTTGGTGCTGAGGCGGTGAGAAATACGGCTCATCTGGGACATGACGGGGTAGGGTAGCCATGTCGTCATTGGACCTGATAGAATACACGTCATACGGCAGGGCAGAAATGACGTCACAAGGCTGGGCAGACATGACGTCACAAGGGTTGGCGTGCCGAGAAGGTGCAACAGCTGATGAACTGAAAATAAAACAAAAACGCTAAAGACGTGTTTTCTTGCTAGTTAAAGACTTGAGAAAAGGTAAACAGATCTTTAGGCCGTACCTAGCTAGTTAAAGACTTGACAAAAGGTAAACAGATCTTTAGGCCGTACCTAGCATGTATCCAGTAGTGTTGAGCAGGGGTCTGATGTTGACAGTTTCCATCTTGACCATACGCGTTTGTTTCTTGAAACTTGAAGTTTTCTGAAGGAGGTGGGATCGGTACAGCTTCTTGGGCGTGGTGAGGTGAAACCTGGGCGTGGTGAGGTGAAACCTGGGCGTGGTGAGGTGGAACTTGGGCGTGGTGAGGTGGAACTTGGGCGTGATGAGGTGGAACTTGGGCGTGGTGAGGTGGAACTTGGGCGTGGTGAGGTGGAACTTGGGCGTGGTGAGGTGGAACTTGGGCGTGGTGAGGTGGAACTTGGCCGTGGTGAGGTGGAACTTGGCCGTGGTGAGGTGGAACTTGGGCGTGGTGAGGTGGAATTTGGGCGTGGTGAGGTGGAACTTGGGCGTGGTGAGGTGGAACTTGGGCGTGGTGAGGTGGAACTTGGGCGTGGTGAGGTGGAACTTGGGCGTGGTACTGTTGTAGTGCGTGATTGTGATTGGCTGGGGGGAGGACATGACTGTACTGGTGGCTAAAGGTCGCCGGTTTGAACTGGCTGCAGTAAGCTTTGATGAGAGAGTTGAGTGGCGCCCCACTAGGGGCGGACTGTCCCCCCGAGGCTGTGAGGGTCTGGAGGGTGTTCCCGGTCCTACAAGTAAAGTCGCAGAAGCGAGCGAAGTCCGACAGACGATAGATGAATTTGTAGGCCGACTTGAGCAGGCAGAGTCTGGTTCTGTCCATAAGTCTCTCGTTTGGTTTGGTGGGCAACAGCTGCCCCAGCTCACTGAGGACTTGTTTTATGTCCAAGTTCCTTTTCCGCTCCTGTGGGCAAGGTTTGGTCAATACAGTGAGAAGGGTTTAAAAGACGACCCCCACACACTCGCCGACCCCCAACCACTCGCCGACCCCCATACACTCGCCGACCCCCATACACCCGCCAACCCCCATACACTCGCCGACCCCATACACTCGCCGACCCCCATACACTCGCCGACCCCCATACACTCGCCGACCCCCATACACTCGCCGACCCCCATACACTCGCCGACCCCCATACACTCGCCGACCCCCATACACCCGCCAACCCCCATACACTCGCCGACCCCCATACACTCGACGACCCCCATACACTCGCAGACCCCCATACACCCGCCAACCCCCATACACTCGCCAACCCCCATACACTCGCCGACCCCCATACACCCGCCAACCCCCATGTCAACCTATTGAGTGCACAGATTGTCCTAGTAACAGCCTAGAGCACCAACATACCCGGATGTTGAGAATCAGCCTCTGTCTTGATTGGATCTTGCACTTCCTGTATCTCCAAGGTCCTGTGGATCTCTGGTTATCTGACTCTGTGGGTGACTGGTCCTCTGTGGGTGTGGCTGTCTGGTTATCTGTGGCTGTGGGTGACTGGTCATCTGTGGGTGTGGCTGTCTGGTCATCTGTGGGTGTGGCTGTCTGGTCATCTGTGGGTGACTGGTCATCTGTGGCTGTGGCTGTCTGGTCATCTGTGGGTGTGGCTGTCTGGTCATCTGTGGGTGACTGGTCATCTGATTCTGAGGCTGTGGGAGTCTGGTGAGCTGTGTCTTGAGATAACATTACAGACTTCTCCTTCAGCTGTCCGTTCAGTCAACTTGCGAATGGGTCCTGTAGGAAAGTATGTTCTATTGAGACAGTTAACACTACTGGGTCCTGTAGGAAAGTGTTTTAGTGAGACTTATTTAACATTATACGCTTGCTACTGTAGGAAATGTTTGTCGGATTTAGTTAGCCCTAGGACTTTTCCTAATGTGAATGGTAAACAGAGTTTCTTCCAAGCATCTCCCCCCCCCCTCGCCACGCCAATGAAAATCTACCGCCCCCACGAACAAACTGGAATTTAAATAGAAAATATATACTTTTTTGTCTATCCGTCCGTCCCCCCTCCGCGGAAATTTTAGTCCGCCCTGCTCCCTACCCCGAAAATTTAGAGTTCCCCCTTCCCCTCGCCCCGAGAAAAACACTGATGGTAAAAATTATAGGACGTGTTAAATGTAATACTGACTGTATAGTCAATGCGCGTGCCGCCCAATGCGCGTGCCGCCCAATGCGCGTACCGCTCAATGTGCGTACCACCCAATGTACTACTAAATATGTGCCGATGAATTTGTACCACTGAATGTGTGTCGATGAATTTGTACCACTGAATGTGTGTCGATGAATTTGTACCACTGAATGTGTACTATTACTTAATATAGAATTGAATAGGTCTGAATGGAGTAGGGTAAAAATACAACAAATCTAGTTTAGTTGAACCGATTTTTTTATCAACTGGACCACACAACCACTTTGTTTATGAATATATTAGTCAACTCTACTTCATCTGTGCTTCTAGACACTTACTACCCTATCTTTGTTTGATGAAAAAAAAATGTTTTCCCAAAATGAATAAGTTTAGGATGAAGCAACAATCAGCTATAACTAATTTGACTGTTCCACTAATCTCAGTCTTCTATAGCCCAACTATATGTAGGCCATTGTAGGCCTTATAACGGTAAACGGAAAAAAAGTCACAGGAAAAAAAAACACAGAAAAAAAGTCACAGTTTTTGCTAGGAAAAAAAGTCACAGAAAAAAAGTCACAATTGAAAAATTTTATCGGAAAAAAAGTCACAGAAATAAAGTCACAGAAAAAAAGTCACACAAATCTTTTTAGAAATCTTTTGATTTATTTGTTAAGAATTGTAAAATTTTGTATGTTATTTTTGTGGGTTATATTTTTTGATAGCATAAATTATTTATAGACGTTAAAAGTATTATGATTTATAAAAATTGTAAGTAAAAATACTCTAAGATAATTTACACAACAATCTTAACTTTTGTTACGTATTTAGTTACATACGCGGTAGAAAAGTTAACTATAAAAGAAATTTAGGCACATCATTGTGTTTTGCATAGGTTTTGCCGTAGGCTATTCTATGGTCGGCCTCTCCTCAGTCGGCATTGTCCGAACATATTTTGTGTTGTTGACGTTTTGTGTCAATGACAGCCTTTGAACCTTGTCGGCTCTCTGTTTTGATCCTAAGTTTTGTTAAGTAATGAGCGTGATAAATGTGGGCAGTAAAGGTGGTTGAACTAAGCATAACTATTGTTGCGATGAGTTGAGGGCAGTAATTCAGATGACCTTACCATTTCACGGTAATTTAGTTTAAAAAAAAACACGATGAAAACCGTGGACATTCTATTAAATGCTATAAATATTATGTTTAACATAATTACAATCTACATAATTCATACTAAATATTTTTAGATGAATTATAAAAATTACTATACGTATACAACCTACACACATTACATTTAATTAATCTTAAGTTAATTTGCACTCTCTGAATATTTAATACATAAAAGTATTAACAAATCCCATGCAAATATATATTTGTGACTTTTTCCTGTGACTTTTTTTCCTGTGACTTTTTTTTCCTGTGACTTTTTTTCTGTGTTTTTTTTTCCTGTGTTTTTTTTTTCCTGTGACTTTTTTTCCTACTATCCTTATAACACGGCCACTAAACTCAGGTATGTTCATCAAAAACATTGATATAATCCAACACTATAACACTAAACTCAGGTATGTTCATCAAAAACATTGATATAATCCAACACTATAACACTAAACTCAGGTATGTTCATCAAAAACATTGATATAATCCAACACTATTTATAACACTAAACTCAGGTGTGTTCATCAAAAACATTGATATAATCCAACACTATAACACTAAACTCAGGTATGTTCATCAAAAACATTGATATAATCCAACACTATTTATAATACTAAACTCAGGTGTGTTCATCAAAAACATTGATATAATTCAACACTATAACACTAAACTCAGGTATGTTCATCAAAAACATTGATATAATCCAACACTATTTATAACACTAAACTCAGGTATGTTCATTAAAAACATTGATATAATCCAACACTATTTATAACACTAAACTCAGGTATGTTCATCAAAAACATTGATATAATCCAACACTATTTATAACACTAAACTCAGGTATGTTCATTAAAAACATTGATATAATCCAACACTATTTATAACACTAAACTCAGGTATGTTCATCAAAAACATGTATGTAACCCAACACTCTTTATAAACTCGGGTGTAAATTCAGTTAAAAAATAGTGATATAACCCATCCATTCATTGGATGGCTTCACACACAGTAACATACCTGGTAATGCCTAGTTTGGTAAGGTCCTACTCAAGATGTTTGATAAGGTCCTCTTTGAAACTTTTGGTATGGTCCTGCTTAAAACATTTTGTAAGGTCCCTATGCAATAGGCAGAATTATTTGAAACTTGACGGTGTAGATTTACTTTCTCAAATGTTAAAACTTGTCAAATGTTAAAACTTGTCAAGTGCTGAAACTGGACGGTGTAGATTTAGTTTGTCAAAAGTTAAAAATTGTCAAATGCTGAAACTTGACGGTATAGATTTAGTTTGTCAAAAGTTAGGTCCCGTCACCTGGAATTAAAAACACCTTGTTTGATTTCAGAAGAGAAGAATTTGTGTCGTCTTCTGTGGTGTGTTGTGTGTGTGTATGAATTCACTTTCCCCGTGGAGAGCCGTGTGAACACAAGGTAACCCAATACTTAAACTACACACATGTGCCATTGTTTAAAAAATATTTTTGTAAGTTTTCAAAACTTCAAATAGATGCTAAAATTGAACCAGCTAATACGGAGTCAACGACGCGAGTCTTAAACCTAATCTAAAGCCTCATCCTAGTCCTAAATCTAATCCTAAAGTTGTATTCGTTTTGTATTCATAGATTCGCCACACTAACCCGCCCTAACCCTAATCCTGTCTCCACCCCTCTCGGCCTTAAGATGACAGGCCAAAAATAAACTAAATACCATATTCCATAGACCGTTATCTTTAACTACGGATTAACAATAACCTTCAATGTACACTGCTACACCAAGTAGATGTACAGAAACTAACTTAATTAATTAATCCCTGGCTTTAAACGTACCCGGGTATATATAAACTATCGATGTTGCAGGTTTTACAAACAAATGTTGCTGACGGTATTTTCTTTTTTTTTAATAAGTTTTAGCTTCTACAAAACACAATCAAAGTCTGTGATTTTTATTTAGTTATGGTAGTCTGATGTGTCCATTTTATCTTCAGATTTACAGTGTAGTAAAACGTAAAGGGCCTTAAGCTCAGAATAAAGCTGGGGTGGGGTGGGGGTGATATGACACTGTGTTATAGTGGGGGTGGGGTGTTGCGATGTGTTGTAGCAAAGTTGGGGGTGGTGTGTCATATCAGGGGTGGGGGTGGCGGTGGCGGTGTGTCATAGCCGGGGTGGAATGTTGCGATGAGTCGTAACAAGGATGGGGGGGGGGGGGGGTGGCGGTGTGTCAATGGTCACAACATGTTTTTCGTGTGTCATGGCGGTTAGCTTCAAAGGTCGGATCTCGTCCATTGCCATGTTTTACCCGGGTCTCAGCGAGACGTCAGAACCCACCCTTCCCCCCCCCCCCCCCCACACATACACGTTACGGGCTAACGAGCTTGGGCAGGCGACACAGCGGCTCGCCTTTGATGGCCAGACACAGATGGGGTGAGGCGGTGGACAGAGTGACGTCGTTGCTTTAGGGTTGTTGTTTTTTCTGCGGGATGACACGCATTCATTGAGTGCGTGTTTATTTAGCAATTGCCATCTTCTGTTGATGAGATCAATGCCTCCACGTTTTACTTTGATTGAAGCAATCAGTGGGGTATGTAGTACACGAAACAGGCATCGCAAAACTGATTTTAATAGTCAATTTTAAAATCAATGTAGCAATCAGTTTATCGATCAAAAAGTGACTGATTTAACAATCCGATACACAAGCAATTAAAGGAGCAATTGATTTACTGATCAAAATGATTTTCGAATGTTGAAAATGTTTCTAGTGAGTTTTATTAAAGACATGTCGGACAAAATTGTTGAACAGAAATGTTGGATAGAAATGTTGCGACGTCACATTTTTGCATTATAATAAACCGGGAGTGATCTCCCCTAAACTTTCTCGAATATTTTTATATAAAATAACAGGGGATGGGAACTCGGGCTATAGACATGATTTTTAATCCATTTTAAATACTTAAAGTTTTAAAAATAGAATAAAATCTCGTAGACAAATTAATTGCACACCAAGTGAACGCGAAATAAAAAAGCGCATAATAGTGTGCAATATTATTAGTACTTTTAAAATTTACATTAGTTTTTTGAGAAATCGGAAGTAGCGTAAATTACTACTTCCGGTCAACGGAAATTACTCAAAATTTAACAGAAGGTAGAGAATTAGATCTTTTACTTACATGTGAAATTTCATTTATCTATCTGAAATAGTACTCAAGTTATAGGCTTTTGAAAAATTCAAAGTAGAAAAAGTACCACTTCCGGTTGTCGGAAATCGCTCAAAAGTTGATACGGATCTACGATTTTGATATAATACTTATATATGAAATTTCATCAACCTAGCTGTAACGGTACTCAAGTTATCGTGTTTACACACGGACACACACACAGACACACAGACACACACACACACACACACACACACACAGACATACGGACAAGATTGCAAAATTATGTTTTTCCGTATCAGTGAGGTGTAAAACGTCGAGATTTGTAAAAATCTCGATTTTTTTTTTGCACGATTACAATACTTTCTCTATACTACGTATATACGAGAAAGTAAAAAAGCAAAGTTAGAAAACGAATTTAGACGTTATTTCGCGTTTTAGATAACTGTCTTAATAAATTGTAATAGTTTAGACAAGATTTTGGAAAAATATCGATGTTTAAAAAAAATTCAACTGCAATTTTGAGGGGGGTTGTAGGTTGTAGGTCATTTTAGGGGGGTCTGGCTTTTTGTCACGATGTGTGACGTAGGGGAGGGGGGAGGTAAAAATCGTCAAAAAAAGCGTAACGTCATTTATGGATGACCCCTATATGTTGTAGACAACAACAAATATCATATACAGGGGCGGAACTACAGTGCCGCCAGACCCCGCAATGCGGGGGGGGGGGGGGCACCGCATTTAGGGGCCCACAGCCGACCATAATATTTTTTTAATAGTTGTTTTGTAAAAAAATTACTGTAGCTGCGGTTGGATTTTCTTTATTCTATAGACACCATCCCACGCTTTTGTATATTCTTTTTCCCTTAGTTTTTAAACCACTGTGAAAGCCGAGTCCTCTTTCTCCTACAATCAAACACACGCTGTTGTTGGCAAAGTTCTTTTGAAAAAAAGTCCATTGCGCGAGAGGCCGCTAGATATTGAGATAACTTTTGCTTCTTTATAGACATCATTACTAATACCGACTAGAGGTTTAGATGTCTTACGGCGGAGATAAAATAAAACAGATTTTCAAAACAGACTAATGCACTCACACATAACATGTTGTAATTTGTTATAATTGAAAAAAAAATATTTTTTTTTGTCAAAACCCGATTAAGCCAGAAATGAGTATCCTATGTTCGTATATGGGGGGGGGGGGGGGGGGGGGGGGGCTAAAAAGTTTTTTTGCGGGATGACCATTTTTTTCTAGTTCCGCCACTGATCATACACACACTGAAGCCTCTGTTTTGTGTATCATGTAGTAAGAAAGGTGCTTGAATCCGATATTTGCTGGCAAGTTTTTTAATGTGCCCCTGGTGATCGTTGTTCAGTTCGCTCATCTTTTTGTTTAGTAGACATTGTCTGGTGGTGTTCACTGCTAGAGGGTCACAGGGGTGAGGAGTCACTAGAGGTCACAGAGGTGTGGAGTCAGGGTCACAGAGGTGTAGGGTCACTAGAGTGTCACAGAGGTGTAGGGTCACTAGAGTGTCACAGAGGGTCACAGAGGTGTAGGGTCACTAACTAGAGGGTCACAGAGGTGTAGGGTCACTAACTAGAGGGTCACAGAGGTGTAGGGTCACTAACTAGAGGGTCACAGAGGTGTAGGGTCACTAACTAGAGGGTCACAGAGGTGTAGGGTCACTAACTAGAGGGTCACAGAGGTGTAGGGTCACTAACTAGAGGGTCACAGAGGTGTAGGGTCACTAACTAGAGGGTCACAGAGGTGTAGGGTCACTAGAGTGTCACAGAGGTGTAGGGTCACAGAGGTGTAGGGTCACTAGAGGGTCACAGAGGTGTGGTGTCACCAACAGGGTGTTGTTGAGTGGTGTGGTCGGGAGGGGGGGGGGGGGTGGAACACACGACTGCTAGCTCAGGGTTTGGTTAAGGGATCAAATCCTTTTTTTTTTTTAACATTAACGTGATGTGTCTAGAACCCGTGCCACCCGCGCAACTTAGCTATCTAGACTGGTTATCAAATCCGTAGCACGAGTCTGCCTATAAGTGAGCCCTCACAAAATGTCCTGCTCACCAGCAGCAAGCACGTCCGTTAAAAAGTAAAGTGCCATGTTTAAACCCTAAACTGGTCGTTCAGGTTAGGTAAATATTCCAACCAAGGTAAATATAAAAACCATTCATGCGTAACCTGTCTTGTAATTAGCAGAGTTTCTTCCAGGC